TGACGGTGAGGTTGCGCTGTTGACGCTCGCGCAGCCTCTCGAGGAGAAATCGACACACATGAGCGCAGCGCACACACACACACAGTTAACAACATACTGCCTATAAAAAATCTAAATGTGGAGTTTCTATATTTTAACATGTGTTAAGCAGCCTCAATTATTTTTCCTGAATACCATATCACGATTGAAAATGTGACATTGATTTCCTACAACAGTTCAATAAACAGTTAAAATTAAGTCACTTACATTTTAGATGAATATTGGCTGTTTTTGTTCTGTTGCTGCAGCGAAAATAGTTCCAAACAAAAATCACAGCAGAACCACGGCGCATCTCACAGGAACACTCGACCTGTTTTCATTATTGAATGATTCAGCATTTTGACCGAATCGGTTGAGTCAAAGATTCAATGACCCATTCATTAACATCTGTCTCATTCTTGAATGAATCAACCGTTTAAACGAATCGTTTGAATTAATGAATCAATGACTCACTCATTAATACGGCCGCCTGCCGCCACCTATTGGCAGTTTAGTGTTATGTTTATAAGTAGCCTAGTATACTTCTTTCCAATGTTTCTTATTTATACATTTAAATAAATTTCATAACATTATTTTATGCAATTGTAATTTTTCAGTGTAAAATATTTAATTTTATCAGCCCTACCTAGGGTAACAGTATGCTTCATCTTTCATTTTAAATTCCTAAATTTGATCAATAAATTCATTTATTTAGAATAAGACGACACTATAGGGCATTTAATAAGATTGGGCGAGGGGATTCCCTTCAAAGGTGCAGATATTACAATATCCCAATTTAAATATCAAAGCTGATTGAACACTGATGAGAATATTGCTTCAGAATAAATAAATAAAATTTAAAAAAATCCGGACAAGCAACTTTTTTGATGTGAATGACAGATTTACTTGTTCGGAGGGCAAGCACATGAAAAGGCTTAAGGTCGAGCCCTGAATAATTTCCTACCTATCCCTTGCTGCCACAAAAAAAAAAAAAAAAAAAATCCCTACCGACCATTACCTCAACTGACAACAAACCGGAACCAAACTTTTTTTTTTTTTATGCCTAATGAGCCGCAGCTGGACACACACACACACACACACACACACACACACACACACACACACACACAGAGACTCATGTTTTGGCTTTACATTCTCTTAGGGATTTATAAACCTGTATTCTGCGTTTTAATAAGTCTCAGTAGAGAACTGATGACTAGATTAGATTGTATTACTGTAGTATTGAAGTCTGTGTGTGTTCAGGGCTGGTAGAAACTGAGGTTATTCTGACTGACTGAAATATGAAACAATGAAGCATTTCATCAATGTCCCTTTTTCTGGAATATAATGATTTCAGAAATTGCCCTCAGTAATCATTTGAGACCTTGCCCATTGTTTGTCTCAGAAAGGTGGTATCTGATATCCTGCATTTTTGGTAAGTGGGTAAATTGGGTCGGATGGAGTTTGGCCTGGGATAAATCAGGAGCAACATTGTCCTGAAATCTAGAGCAAGTGACGGCCGTCACCTCCTCAGGGATCGCACACAGAAATAGATCGGATAATATCCTGATAGCTCAGTTCCAACGCATAACAAGCTGCCTGTGTAGGCAGTTCATGAATTCAGAGACACATTAGAGAGATTCAGAGAACATTAGTGGTGCAACGGATCACAAAACTCACAGTTCGGATCATTTTGATGGTTTTTGAGTTACGGATCAAGCATTTTTCGGATCAGCAAAAAAAAAAACAGGGGGGGGCAAATGTAACTTTCCTTTACATGTATTACTTAAAGCTCACTTTAAGTACTTTGATGCCACAGCAAAGACTACTAGCCTAACTAATAAAGTTCAAACATTATTAAAGACAAGTGAACAGTCAGTAATAAAATACGAACTTTAAATACAAAAATTACAAGCTTATATAACAAAGTTACTAACAGTAGTATTCAGGTACAGAAATTAATAGTTAGGCCTAAATGTAAAATAACACTATTTGTTTACTGTAGAAATTAAATATAGGTTCATCTTTGTTAAAGCTGTATTCTTTTATTTTATTTTATTAACATTAATGACACAGACAACAGCAGGAATATTAGGCTGCTGTCACTTTAAGACAGAATGCACGGACCGAATATACTGACACATCCGGTTTCTTTCTCAACTGTTCACTTATGACATAACTGAGAGAATACATGTCGAGACGGGTATTTTGACATCATTTTGTGTAAATGTATCCGTTTACGCGCTAATAAACGTGAAAAAGGAATCAATTCGGTGTTCGAGCGCTGTCTGAAACGCATCTCTATCTCTGTGTGTGCGGCTGTTCAAAATCGTTTGAATGTGTAAATTGGCAAGACAAAACACGTCCAAATGATAGAGTTGATGGATAACCATCTATGATGATTAAACTTAGCAGTTAATCCGCGAATCTCATGCGTGCCGAACCGTGGGTCCTGATCGTTGCACCCCTACCCAACATTCATTTTTAAATAGCTTTTTGCGGTTTCACGATTTGACAGATTTCACAGATCACGATTAGATTGTTCAACCCTACTTTTAATTTATTCATCCAAAATTTGCCAAATTCTGTGACATTCATTCCGCATTCTACAGTACATTCGATTTTTGTCAATAAACTGCAATTCCGTTCATGTTTTCCTGTGTATTTCCTGTATTATGTAGAATAGGGTGTTTTTGTTTTTGCATGAGTCGTCAATGACTTTTGCTAAAATGCAGTGACTTATGTCTTTGCTTGTTGTGATTGTGTTTGTCCTTTATCCATTCCCCCCTCGTCTAGACGCACCATCTGCCCATAGCTTGTTTATCCACTCCTCCCCCACTGTGGAATTATGGGTAGCACTCTTTAAAGATCAGTATTTGTGGGAGCCATAATACATGCTATTATGTGGGTGATGTCATGTAAAGGATGGCAATACTTTTCTTTTTTCCTTTACAGCAGTCAGATGACGTGTTCGAATTTTTAATCTCACGATTGCTACAGAAATGGCTTTGTTGTGCCTCATTTCCAAAAGCATAATTTGGGGTATTATTCGGATGCATAACCTGAACGGAATTGAGGGACATTGTGCCTAAGTTTGGATTAAACAAGCATAATGTTTAACAAAAAACCATAGCTATTATTGATTGGTGTGTGAGATGACACAGCAGGAGATTGATTGGTTTTAGTGCAGGAATCAATAACAGTTTAACCAGATTGCTGATTCTGATGTGCTGTTTGCTTCAGTATCTGTCACAGATCACAGGATGCTTGCAGATGTTGAGACCTGAAACACAGTTAAACATCTCTCAAGCCATATATTTTATGTTTACCCATGGATTCATAAGCCTATTTGGCATCTCTTTTCAAGGAATTGTTTAATTTTCAAGCTGAGATCTGTCAGGTCATAAACTTTCTTATTCTTACAGTCACTTCCTAAAAGAGTGTGTGAGGGGGAATGATCTCCGGTCCTTAAAGGGATAGTTCGGCCAAAAATGATATTTAACACATGCATTACTCACCCTCAAGCCGTTCGAGATGCATATGTCAATCTTGTTTCAGACGAACACATTTTCAGTTATTTTAGAAAATGTCTTAGACCCTTCAGTGGATATAATGTGAAGCAATGGGGTCCACCTCCTTCAAGTCCAAAAATGTGCATACATCCTTCACAAAAGTAATCCATCCGGCTCCAGGGGGATAAACGAAGGCCTTCTGAGGGTAATCCGTGCGGTTTTGTCGTAAAAATATACATATAAAACTTTATAAATGAAAATATCTGACTTCCGGGAACGATCGACGCGCGTTCACGGGTGATGGAAGTCGGCGTACGAGGTAGGACGTAGCGTAGGAACCGTCGTGACGTAGAACGAACGCGCCTGCGCAGCCAGAGTGCAGAGCAAAACAAAACTACACTCAGTTCACCCGTGAACGCGCGTCGATCGTTGCCGGAAGTCAGATATTTTCATTTATAAAGTTTTAAATATGTATATTTTTACGACAAAACCGCACGGATTACCCTCAGAAGGCCTTCGTTTATCCCCCTGGAGCCGGATGGATTACTTTTGTGAAGGATGTATGCACATTTTGGGACTTGAAGGAGGTGGACCCCATTGCTTCACATTATATCCACTGAAGGGTCTAAGACATTTTCTAAAATAACTGAAAATGTGTTCGTCTGAAACAAGATTGACATATGCATCTCGAACGGCTTGAGGGTGAGTAATGCATGTGTTAAATATCATTTTTGGCCGAACTACCCCTTTAAGTAAATCAACAAGATGTAGAGCAAGCAACTTTGACTTTTTGGAACTTCTTTAACACTATGTCTTGTATTTTTTATTTGCACAGTGATATACACATTTTATGTACAATATGAGACTAGTATGTGTTTGTTTACACCTGTATATACATATTGGATCTCTCTCTATGGTTGGCATGTTAACTTTATGAAATCAAAGTATGTTTACAGTTTGTGAAAGTTGTAAAAACATTTCTTGGATACAATTTACTGTTCTAATATATATCATAAATATTTAGTATTTTAAAATATTTGATATATATAAAATATTGTATTATTTTAACAAAATTATATTGTATTATTTTAATAATAATTTAATATATTTTTTGTTTAATAATTTTAAAGCTAAAAACAATATAAATATTTTTGTTTAATATTTTAAAATGAGTTAAAATGAATTTAATATTCATTAAGATTATTATTCATATTAAAATTAATTTATTTTGTATGATTTATATTTGATAAATTATGTAATACGATTTAAGTAATATTTTATATGAATAAATGGTTTATATTCCTATTATATCCCCTTTTTAAATTCTATGATGATGTCTTAAGAGCACCATTACAGTCGACAGCGATATACCTAGATGTTTCAAAAAGAAATAAAGCACTTTGTATTTTCAATTCTCTGATGAATAAACAGTTTGGGGTTTTCCCCCTTCCCTCTATCTGTGTCATTCAGGCTCTGACTACCTTCTCAGAGCAGATGAGAAGTCGTCATCATGGAGTCGCCCGGACTCATCTGCCTCGGGACAGTACACCTACACCATTCCCAGCCCTACAGAGACACACATCATTACCAGACCAGGTCACACACACACACACACACACACACTGTTAGCTGTATATGCAAACATCATCTCCAGCTTTACTGCCTGAACTCATCCAGCATGTGTGCTTGTGTTTGCAGAGCCTCTCATGCAGAAGATCGATGAAAGGCAGAGACTCGCACGTGAACGGAGGGAGGAGCTGGAGAAGCAGAATGGTATGACAAACACACACATTGTTATTAAAGACAATGTCAGAGTGCCTTTGCAACACATTTAACTTGCATAACGTTACACATTTCAGAATGAAGCAGTATTTTTTATTTAACCTTTATTTAACCAGGTTTGTCTCATTGAGATATAAAATCTCTTTTTCAAGAGAGACCTGGCCAAGATAGCAGAACAATTTAGATCACACAATCACAAAACAAACACAAAAAAGGCAAAAAATACACATCTCAATTACAATTCAATTTAAATAAAAGTGCCATTAATTAAAACATTTGCACGTGTGGATGGACTCATGTTCTATAGTTTTAACATAGCCTTTAAAATCATTTAAGGAAATTAGACACTGTAGTTTAAGTGTTTTCTGTAGATCATTGCAAGTAGAAGGTGCAACAAACATGAAAGCCTTTTTGAGCGACTAAAAAGTTTATTCAATGTTAAATTAGGTGGACGGGACTTTTTTTTTTAAAATCATGATTATTTTTAATCATGATTTGATTGGCATTTGAATGTTATGTTTTGTTTACTGTTATTAGTTTTTTGACAACTTAATTGTTCTCTTTTTAACTTCTTAACAAAGACACTTTTTTTTTTGAGGTACTGCATACAAAACCGATACAAAAGATAAAGGATGCATGTTTGGTATGTAAGAGATGCTTTGTTTTTATAATTCTTGTTTTGCATCGGAGAATGATGGGAAGTGTAGTTTAGTCATGCAAGACTGTCATCTCATAAATAATATAAATGATTAGTGCTTTCTAGCAAGCTTCATCCACAGAGTACACAAAATGTAAAAAACAAACAACACAATCACTGATAAAACTTAAAGTTAATAATATCAATTTTTACATATTCTTTAACTCAGGTATTACATTTGCTGACTTGACTCGAATGCATCCTAAGAATGGGCCGGTTATTAAGATGTACATGGGTTCAGTTTTGATTTCATGGTGGAGTTTCAACAGAGTTGCAGTGGTTTACTATGCAAACACACGGATACTGTCGAACTGACCTTTGATCAGAGACTCACTCATTCCTATCGAGAGTCATAATGAATGATCAGTTTAGTATAAAAGCAGTTACATGTTCACGTGTTGTTCTTGTTGTTTCTGTGAGTTGTTGGAATGTGTCTATCATGGGAATTTGTTAAATCAAACCTTCTTCACCATGTAAAGCTCAGGGGTTCCCTTCTTGCACTTGTTCCTGAGCTTGCCTTTTTTTTTTTTTTTTTTTTTTTTTTTTACACATTTTGCTCTTTCTTGTGTCTGTCTGTTTTCCCTGTTTGTAACTGCATGACTAACTTGAAGGGGCAGGTTGCTGTGGCGAGATGCAGTTGTTTTGTAAACTCTTGGCAAGGTTGTTGTTACCAGGACACCCAGTTTTATGTAAGGGGTTATAGGCCAAGACAGAGAGGCCAGAGAGAGATTGGCAGATTAATTTCGCTCGCTTTTGATGACTGGAGTGCTTGGTTGCAAATGAAATTGATAATCCACAATGTTGACTATTAACATCTGCCTTTCTTATTATTTATTCCACCATCTCTTACAGCTTTAGCATTAAACTTTACATTTAAAGTGATAGTAAACATTCTGTCACCATTTACTCACCATCTTGTTGTTCCAAACCCATAAGACTTTGGTTAATCTTTGAAACACAAATTAAGATATTTTAATGCAAACTGAAATTTTTGTCCCTCCATTGAAAGTCCAGGCAACCAAAACTTAGAAGATCATAAGCAAGATCATAAAATGAATCCATATGATTCAGTTAATTTAGGCTTTTACTTACACTGACACACATACATGGAAGTGCATGCGTGACGCACGAAAACCAATTAAGTTTGTTCTACCATGTGACGTACCATAAGCTTCTTTGTTTAACATATGAAAAGGCTCATATGCATCAAGTTCAAGAGGGTGCTTAAAAAGATCAGTTGTATCAAATTAAATTTCATAAATGGTTTAACAAATGTCTTAATTATCATTTTAAGAGATCTTAAATTTGTGGATGGAAAAACGGGAATCGCGATACAGCGCATTCTACAAACTCGCAGTTTCAGAGCAGTTCGTAATCAACAAATCCTGTTGACAAAAATATGTTGTAGATGGTTGTTAGAGTGCTTATTTTATTGGTTACAAAATAAACTGTATCTGTTATTTAATTCAACGTAAACTCTTGTAGCTTCTGTCTGGGCTGCCCTGTCACAGGATGGAAAGACTAAAAACACTATTTGCACATATAATTCAGTATATAGATTTTATTAGTGTCGGCACTCGGGACATTAATCTATACTTTTTGTAAATGAATAAATGGGTTTTTGTGTGAACTATCCCTTTAAAGACTTGTTATCTGCTAATATCTGTGAAATTAGTAATAATTCTTACAGGTTTTGAGGTCCAATATAGTTGTGATGCCCTGTCCTTCAATAACAGCCTCTTTGCAAATCTCGAATATGACTGGATGAACTTACATTATCAGGGATCCCTCTTTCATTCTGGGATCCTTATCCAGGAACAGAACATATTTGGTAGGGCATTCCCACATCTAGATATCAGCTGGGCTATTTAGGCCTATTTAGACCTTCCTTCATTGTTCCAGTAGTCATGACAATGTTAAAAATTGTGATTTCCAGACCTTAAGTTACACTGGAAAAGTTGTGTTAGAGTTGAAATTATAAACAAATCACTATGCATAAGTCTTTCTGAATTTGGGGTATATGTTATAGGGCCAGCAAAAAGATCCACGACTTGACTAAGGGAATTCACTGTGTGTGTGTGTGCAGCTGTACGGGGGTCCAAGTGGTTGGAGAGAGAGGAGAGAGCCCGACAGTTTCATGAGAGACAGCTGGAAGAGCGCAGGAAAAGGATGGAGGAGCAGCGGGTGAAAGAGGAGAGGAGACGAGCTGCTGTGGAGGAGAAACGACGGCAGAAACTGGAGGAGGAAAAGGTGAGGACATCGGGGAAAGCCCTTCACTGAAGTGGAATTTTTTCAGCTGTTTGTATATATTCACTCCCTATAGATTTAGTTTTCATTATTTATCTTTATATTTCTCATCAGTCATTATTAAAGCACAATTACATCAGTGGTTCTCAACAGTTTTGACTCCAAGCCCGTTTGACCACGACTATATTTGAAGGCCGTCTTACAGTATCTAAGCCCCTCTGCTACTGTACTTCTGTTGTAATAAAAATAAACATAACTTTTTTTTTAATAGCAATTTTTTTATCTTTTATTATGCTTTTTCACTTTTTCAACTTTAGTTAGTGTTAATGTTATAAAGCTCAAAGTCCACTCCAAAGGGAGATATTGTATTTTTACAGAATCCACTTTCCAAGAACTACGACGTGTCTTTTCCTTGGCTTTATGAATTCACAATGTTCCTCATTTAAATAAGCCCCGCCCACAGAATACGCAAAAAAGGGGACGAGGCCTGGTTGAGCTGCTGCTATGTCTAAGAGATGCTGTTTTTTCAACCCCTTTTCTAAAACTCATATGTTTGATCTTCCTAAGGCTGAAGACAACTGATTTTAAACACTGCTCCTGCACATTGCAATGTTTAATCTGTCCTGTGAACGTCCTTTGAAATCCGAGCTTGAAATCCGTTCTGCACGATCCTCTTGTTCATTAACATTGTCAGGGTCTGAATCAGGCTCGAATTGGATTGAAATTGCCACTATCCTTAATATTTACACTAGAGCAGAACTCACAGTTGAGTTATGGACATTTTCCTCAACACACGCTAAGCTGTGCCAATCACAACGCACTGGTCCAGCTAACCAATCACAGCACATTTCGTATTTTGGAAGGACGGGCTTTATCTAAATCAGCGTGTTCAAGCCAGACTGGGGAGAGAGGTGCTGTAATATACAATATGTGAAAAATAATGCAAGCATGAACAATCAAGCATGACAGCATATTCTAGTACCCTTCAAAAACAAAATCAAGACTTTGTAAAAAGGCATAATTGGACCCCTTTAATAGTGCTTGAGAACCATAACATTGTCATCACTGTGAAGGTATACAGATTAGAGATGCACCGATTACAATTTTCTAGGCCGATTCCGATTTCCGATTTTTCTTGAGTTTGACCTGCCGATACCGATTTTAGCCGATTCCGATTTAATTTTTTCTAACCACTTTAAATAGTTTGGGAAATAATAAAAACAAGTTTAAATGGGTACATTTTCTATAAATATTTTTGAGTATTCATTTTCTTTTCTAACATAGCCTACTCCAGTTCTTTTTAAAACACACCAGACATGCAAATTCTGTGCATTTTTGGCACTTTTGGTGTGAAATCATAATTATTTTGTCCATCAAAATTGTGCTTTAAACGCTGCTCACGCGACGCTCCTGCTCGACGCTCACGCGCTGCTCCTGCTCCCGGTGTGAATGCACTCATTGATTAACATGCACGCCGAAACCCGCGCTTCACTGCTGCTCACGCGACGCTCCTGCTCGACGCTCACGAGCTGCTCCCGCTCCCGGTGTGAATGCACTCATTGATTAACATGCACGCCGAAAAAAAACCCCGCGCTGCTCACGTTTGCGGTGTGAAACGGCCGTAATTCACGAGGTTTCCTACATGTGCGTTCCGTGTGCACGTGTGATGCTGATGTTGCGCGATGTTAATCATGTGGCGCCCGAGTGCATTTGACCGGCATAAAATCGGAATATGTCAGACTGACCGGCCGGTCGCCGATCATGGCCGATCACGTGAAAATCGGCCGATTCCGGTCACCAGCCGATCAATCGGTGCATCTCTAATACAGATACCCTTTCCTCATTATTGTAATACTACAGGAAATAATAAAGGCAAACCATACATCTTGTAAAAAGATCACAATAATATAGACTGCAGGATAAACATGCGTTTATCCAATAAATTGCTCTCTGGAAAGTAAATGTCCTTGTGTGTTTCAGGCCCGGTATGAGGCTGTTATCAGGAGGACCATGGAGAGGGGTCAGAGAGCCAGGCCGAAGCCGAACCGCTGGAGCTGGGGTGGAACACTCTCCGCTAGCACGTCACACAACAGCGGTAAACACACACGTGCACAGAATGATTCGTAGAAAGGATGTGTAGAAAACCTACTACGATTAATTGTGGTTCCCTGATGCAAGCTCCCTTTGGCCTGGTTTTGAAGTTCTAATATTAGTGCCTTTTTATAATGTTTAAATATAAATTTAATATGTTTATGTATGCAGAACAGCACATTTATTTTATTCTCTGCTCACATTTGCTGACTCAGAGCCATGAGCTCACCTCACACCCCCCTTTGTTTCCTTTATTTTCTGCTCCATCAATATCTCTCTCACTCTCTCAATGTATGGTTCTGTATTTCTCTTCTTCCCTCATCCTTTCACTGCTTCTCTCTCTCTCTCTCTCTCTCTCTCCTCTCTCTCTCTCTCTCTCTCTCTCTCTCTCTCTCTCTCTCTCTCTCTCTCTCTCTCTCTCTCTCTCTCTCTCTCTCTCTCTCTCTCTCTCTCTCTCTCTCTCTCTCTCTCTCTCTCTCAGGTTTTGATGAGTCTGCTCTCTTTTCATTGGATCTAGCTGGGCTGGAGCACTATCATGGTGTTTTCAGCTTCACGCGTCAGCAGCAGTTTCGCTCCAAATGTGAATATAACCGGCAGTGTAGAGCAGCCGACTAGCACTATTAGCTAGAACTTGTAGCATTGCCTATAAATTATTAGTTTCCTTTCCCGTAAGTGGTTAGCATGGAGCCAAAAACATAAACAAACTGCTTAACAGTAGTATTTTAGATGACTCATAGCCATTTTGTAGTTTCTGTTTTAAAGGGGACATGTATCTCTTTGTCACATTTTTTGCTTATAGTCCACTTTTTTGCACCAACCCTTTTTTTTGCTTTTACACCTTCAAGTATAAAAGCTTAAGCCTTTAGATCACTTTAAAAAAAAAAAATATTGTGAGGAACATTTCAGGTGTGTCCAAACTTTTGACTAGTTCAGTACATCAAAAGTATTTTTAAGTCTTTGAGCAAGAAACATCCTATTTTCCATGATATGACCCCTTTAAAATCAGGTAATATCAATATAGGTGATATTAGATCACAGATGTCCTGTTAGTTTTAAAGTCGTCAATGTGTCTGTCCATTTTGGGACACATATGGAAGGCAGGTTGTGATAAAGTGCTGTCATCCTCACTAGTCTTTAGTACATGTAGCTAAGCACTTTAGATTGCTTTTAAAAATTAGCATCCATTAGCTGCTGCAAGCATACACACAGTAGAAAAGGTCTCAGTAAAGCCTCTTATGCCCTCTTCCCCATTTTCTATCTTTCTTTAGTCCTTTCTTCAGTGCATTTTTCTGTATTACGCCTTTAAGTTTTGCATCTCATGTGGTTATTTTTTTGTCTGTGTGTTTGTAGATGCTGACAGAAGGTCAGTCTCCACTATGAATCTGTCCAAACACACAGATCCAGTAATTTCCAAACGCCTGTCATCTTCCTCAGCCACCTTGCTGAATTCCCCAGATAGAGGTAAAAAATCTTTACACAATCTCATAGCCAAACAAGTCCCTTTTTAGATGAAGAATTTACCAAGGATCCCCTTTTTGAATTTACCCATTATTGATATTTTTTGTGCATGTGTTTTTGTGTGATTTTTGCTGTACCGTCCAAGCCTTACAGAAGCGGACATCTCTCTCGTCATCTTGCTTGATTAAAAAAACGCTATCTAAATCCCAAATATCCAGAGAGAAGATCCCTCAGGACAAACCAGCAGGTGGATTTTAGAAATCCAGAAGTCTTTTTTTGCTCTTTTATGGGTTCAAACCTGTGCTACCCAGGGCTTCAGACTGCAAAGTAACTGATCATAAATGAAGTAACAAGCATGAATGAACAGTTAGCGACAAATTACAGAACCTTTTTTTGACATGTGACTTCAATTAAACATGTTAATTCTGTTTCAATCTAAGCACTAACATACAGTGCAATAGTGCCCACATTTCGCTATGAAGCGAATCATAACATTACAAACTTTAATTTGTAGCAAAAAAGTATTTGATATTCGGACAAAACAGCAAAGATAACGCTATGTAAAGAGGGAAAGAACTTTAATCCCATGAAGCATTGCAAATTATATAATCGAATTAAAAGTAATGATGAGATATAAAAAAATATTCAAAGTTGTTGATACCTACAGAAACAATATAATTTAAGTGTACTGAAAAATATGTTTGTATGCTTTTAACACAAGCATATACCATTGATTAATAACCTCTGAACTCACAATAAGTCTGTCTTTAAATGTTTAAGTTATCGTTAAAAATCTTTTTTCATATGGAGAAAATGTTCCAGTTTTTACTCAACGTTGCACTTTATTGCATCCACACAATGTAAGCATGACCAAGTGCTTCTAAACAAAATAATAGCAAATCTATAATAATGCCATTCTGTAATTTGTCGTTTTTAGTCTTGAGCCCTGAGTCATGCAGTCTCTTCCAGCATTATTGCATGTTAAAGTTTGTGTAGGGTTTATACATTAGCTAATAATAGTTAAGCTATAAAAATAGTGGGGGAAAAGTTGTACTGTGTGTGCACTGCTGCATGCTTTATTTGAGGGCTTCACTGGCATTTGACTGTATATTGTTTTTGATATTTAGTTCTTGCATGTTTTTTTCCTACAGCAGTTGGACACCTTTTTTTAAAGACAACATGAAAACAAAACAGATTTATTTAAAAAAAATATATATATATATTTTATTCTGCACAATTAATCCGTGCATGTTATTTTAAAGAAACCATTTGTTTTCCGGAATTTAATGTAGTATCTGACTTAAGTTTTTTGCTGCGCGACTGGCCATGTGCGGTGGTCAAAATAATATTAATTTCATAGCTGACATTTCATAATCCAGTCAAATCATGATGGATAAAATGAAGTCCCACCCTGAAATATTATTTCATTTAGACATTAAATGGGGTGTTTTTGCAGCTTCATGTTGTCTTTCCACTGGTGGTTATGTTTAGGGTAACTAACTCTGTTTTTCCTTGATTGGTTGGTCTCACTTAACTCAAAACATTTTAAAACATGCATGATTCACTGTCACCAGCAGATGATGCAAATGGGTAACCTATTCTTAGCATATGAAGTTATGAATACATGTGATGGGATTCATGTGTGTCAAGTGCTTTACTTTTGCATGTTTAAGCTGCTTATTTAGCTTTTGTTGAGAATGTGCATGTGTGTGTGTGCTGTCCAGGTACGCGTCGCATGCCTCTTACCACATGGGAGAATACAATGATCACTCGACTACAGACACCAACACACTCCTACCTGGCCAGGAGTCGCAGCGCCATGTCTTTGTCTGGAGAAGCAGGTAAAACACATGCACAGCATGAACCAATCTAATACACTTTTTTTAATGTTCATTTTGGTCACAGATAGGGTGGGAAATTAACTTTTTTGCCTATCAGCTGGTGAATGGCCAATTTAACCAGCAACCTTTTTAATTTTTTGTTCAATTAAAAAGTATAAAATGACATGCTACAAACCTGAAATTGAATTGTGCATGTGTTGCTTTAAATTCTTGTTAAATGTTAAGCTAAGAGACATCTTACCGGTTTCCTGCCACGTTGGTTTGTACATAAGCAAAATGACCTGACGCTGCACAAAAAGTGCCTGCATTTGTCTGGTGGCAAGTGTTAATTTTACACCCTAGCTAGTGAAGCGTTCAGTCAGACCTGACCAGTGTTGAGGTAGAATTGTTTCTTATTTAACCATGTTTTTTCAGAAGCATAACAGTAACTCGGATGTTTTAAAAATAGTATAGCTTTTCAAGCCATCTTCTGACAAGTTTTGATGAGGTGTGACTAGAAAAGAGAAAAAATATTATGATATTATATGATATGATATTATAAAAAAAATAGTATAGCTTTTATATTATGTTACTGTTATGCTTCTAAAAAAACGTATATAGCTTCAGTGTTATTAACTAAACGTTTTGATAGTAACTTGTAGAATAGCTAGAAAGTATGAGAAGCTCATAGCTTGACGATGCATTTTCAAAGTAGCTTTTACTTATACTATAGCTGAACTTCAAGATGTTCAGTGTGAACACGCATTTACAAAGAAAGAGAGCAGAGAAAGAGTATTGGAGAACTGTGAGCTGTTTCTGGCAAGGCCCCTGTCTTAAAACAAAACACCTCTTTTAGACAGACTTCTCTGCCCGTGTGTGTGTGTGTGTGTACAAATAGAGCTGATGCTAATCTCTTGTGTGTATCTATATGTTCTGTCTTTTTCTTGCTAATTGTTTGGGGATTCTGTTTTCAACTGATTAAATTAAAGGCTTCTAACATGGGCAACTGCATCATCATTTGACTATGAGGAATTGAATTGTCTGCATTCAGAATGAAATACTACCCTACTGCATGCTGTGCCATACTTTTCACTGCCTGCTGTTTTTATAATTCGCAGGGCAAAAACAAAAAGTATGCAACGTTGTTGTCAACCTAATAATTTGTGTGACGTCCAGTTTTTGTTTAGGAATTAAAAATGTTATTTTGCAGTTTTATTCCAATTTAAGTTCACATTTAGACAAGTGCAATGCTTTGCATACAGTAAATGTGCAAATTAAACAGTATACATAATGCAAATTTTATGGTAGTATGCCATTACGAACATGCTCTCAGATTGTCCTCCATCAGTGATGATCAGCATTGCCTAATTTCTGTCTAGAGCTTTGTAGATACTAATACACACTTTCTTCTTCTTCCCTTTCCACTTTTCCACCACTCATTCATCCCTTTTGAACCTTTTTCTTTTGCGCACCTTCCTCCCTGTCGCTCCTCTTGTCCATAATGGATCAATTTAATTATCTCATAATACACCCTGGTTGGTTAAACTTGATCGTGGTACAGTGACCCCCGTTTGTCCTCGCTCAGCCTCCTGTCACCCAATGAGCTCCATGTCCTTCAAGTCCATCCAGTCACGCAGCGCCGAGCGACCAATCAAAGCAGGCCTTAATTTTGAGAGACCAATCAGAGCAGGGTTCATCCCTTCGGACGGCAGCTCTCGCAGAAAGACCACCCAGAATACCCTGGTATGGTATTGGTGTAAATATGTGCTTGAATTTTTTTGTGTCTGTGCAAGTGCCCTATGCTTGAGAGAGTAACTTAAGAGTCTGTGTAGGACAATTGCAACGTGTTGATCTTTGTATAATGTATTATATGGAAGTACTCTCGAAAGATGTGTGTCATGCCTCTGTGTATAGATTGACAGGAAGGATAAGGACAATGTGAGGAAGTCATGGAGTAACCTGTCATATCCCACTCCCAGTCTGAGCCTGTTTACACCCAAGAGATCTCCCTCTCCTGTCAGTCATCGCAGTAGGGTCACCAATCCATCCCCCAACAGGTATAAGCACCATTTATAAGATGAGCAATAAAAGTATATTCTGTCTGAAGGTGCATCTCATTTTCACAACCAAGAGGGGTTTTTATATTGAAAATTTGTGGAAATATTTTCACAAATTTGTCTTTATTTTTGGATGTTTTGTTGGGTAAAGAGTCAACCAGGGTTAGTAAATTAAATAAACTAAAATAATTACAAACTTCATAATCATCCTATGTTAGAACCAATCTCTGATTTCTATAATTACTACCATATATTCAGTATTTACCAATCTTCCTGTGATGTTAGAGATCCTCTTGCTGGTTCAGAGATCATGCTTATTTTATTTATAAGTAAATAATTCTCAACTCATTTTTTAAGTATAATTGCTAAACCTTATACTATAATATCTTTCAAATATATAACAATACACTAAAAATGTGATAATAAAAAACTGAATTAAAAGTTTTATTAAAATAAATATTTACATTTATTTAATTATTATAAATTTAAATCTTGAAATAGTATCTAGAAATAGTGTGTGTATGTATATATATATATATATATATTAGTATAAAAATACATTTGTGACCACAACTTTGCTATGAGTTTTGTTGGACGGTATAAAAAAAACTTTTCCCTCCTGATCTTTTTTTTTTTTTTTTTTTGTTCCTCAGGGGCTCCACTGCTAAACCCTCTCAGAAGATGTTTAACCCCAAAAAGTCCAGGTCTCCTCCTCCCCCAGCATCAATTCCACTGTCTCCTAGTAACCCCTCCTTATTGCCTGGCAATCTCAGGCCCAACAGAGTGACATCTGAGAGCCCGAGAGTTACCCCAGAACGAGAGGGGGGCAAAAAGGAGGACGTCGAACCTCCTAAAATTGAACCAGAGGCTCCTGCAACTAAACCAGAGCCTTCTGCTGGTCTGTAATACTGCGCAACCATACATGAACCATCAAGTTCGATTGAACTAGCATCATATATTATATTCCTGTGGCTCTTTCTCTTTGTAGAAGGTTCTGGAAGTTCTCCAACAGCACGGCCCTCTGCAGGCACAACAGATCCCGAGGAGGCATCTCGTCTGCTGGCTGAGAAACGACGGCAGGCCAGAGAACAGAGAGAAAGAGAAGAGGAGGAGAAGAGACAGCAGGAAGAGGCTGAAAGGTGCATGTGAGAGATTTTCATGAGCACTGTTATTATATCCTCTGTTGGGGAAGCTACTCTAAAACTAGTTGCAATAATAGCCCTGCATTTTGAAAAATATTTCTGCTGATTTGCACAAAAAAAAGCCTGATCGTATTACCTAGGGATGCACGATATTGGATTTTGGCCGATATTCGATATGCTGATATTTTCAAACTAATTTTGCCTGATGCCGATACCGATGTATTTCTATTTTTTCTTTAAGTGCAAAAAAAGCTTATAAAAGCTTCTATTAAAGTTCTCAGTCAAGATCAGTGATTGATTTCCTCTTTGTGTTTTGTTGTTTTATTAACATTAAAGGGATAGTTCTCCCCAAAATTTAAATTGTCATCATTTACTCTCTCAAGTTGTTTTAAACCCTAAATTTCTTTCTTCTGTTGAAAATAGTGCTGGGCAACGATTAAAAAATTTAATCGCGATTAATCGCATGATTTTCTTGCGATTAATCGCGATTAATCGCATTGTTACGCGCAAAATTGAATAATGAATTTTAGTAGTGTATTGCGCAGTTTTGATTTAAATGTACTGCTACAAAAGTGCAATAACATGTGGTTTGCAAAAACTTTAAACAAATAAGGTGCTTTTATACCAGCAGTATTCCCTTTACACAGTATCAATAAAATATTTCTTGTAAATCTCAACTTAAACATTAATGTAATCAAATCAAATATTTAAACAAAGCTATTTGCCACTGCCAGGGCATTACCTTTTATCTAGCTTGTTAAAACGAGTCCAGTTTTTTTTTTTTTTTTTTTTTAGCAGCAGAAACAGTCTATGTAGTCAAAGGGTCATGATCACTACTACAGATATAAGTCGACCAACGTTACTTCTCTGATAGCAGCTTAGGTTTGGTCATGGCATGCCATGGTTTCCCACGTAAGATTACATTAAACAGAGGTAAGTGAGGTGAAGTGGTCGAGCACAGGTGCAGCGACAAGCGGGTGCGTTCCTGTGAAACTGTTGCAGTCATGCTCGCCTCACGCACGCGCCCGCGCGTTGCCGAAGTTGAATTGTCTAACTTTTTTGTACACGACGCGCAGCACAAATCATTGGAAGAGAGACTGATCCTCGGCTCGCTGTTTGTGAGTTTCCAGAATCTAAATAGTTATCAGGACATCAACAGGAGGGAATTCACATGGCAGAGCATCCCCGCTAAACTAAACGCAGGCCTATCAGGTAAAGTTATGTATAATTTTAATTTAAGTTAAAAAGGCTACAGCTGCGTAGCGCACAGAAGCCGGTGCCATGGTTACTATCCATAGAGCGCCTGTCATTCACTCGCGGGGCGCTGTCTCCCTTTCTGTTCACCTGAGAGAACCTGCCAAAGCCTCTCCACTGCTTGTTTGGGTGGGTTATTTGCTGACTGACCAACATCCCACCCCTCCTGTGATCATGGTTTGACTGTAGGCCTATGTGTATTCAGAGGCAGTGAGCAACGGACTTTCAAAATAAAAAATAAAAAAACTCTGCGTTAACGCGCGATGAAAAAATTGTCGGCATTAATTAATAAATGCGTTAACGCGATAATAACGCGTTAACTTGCCCAGCACTAGTTGAAAATAAAAGTTATTTGGAAGAATCTGGCTAACCAAACAGTTGCTGTACTCCAGTGACTTCCATAGTATATTTAAGCACAAGAAAGAAATTAATACAGGTTTGGAACAACATTAGAGTGAGTAAATAATGACAGAATTTTTTTTTTTTCTGGGTAAACTATCTCTTTAAGGACAAGCGCCAGCATATTATAGATACTGTCTCTTTAAGAGCTGCATGCGACGCGTCTAATATACACGCATTTGACAAGCAGATTTTCTCTGTTTGCAGAATTAGAAAGGCTTTTAGTTCCTGTGAGCGTTGGCTGTTAGAACAGCGCATCAGCACGTGAATGACATGTTTAACTAGCAAGACTTTGACGCACATGCAAATAATGAACTTTTGTGAATTGCAGTGTCCCGTGAGCGTAACTCTACCTCTGCGTTTACATGTGATGTGATGTGATGTGAATATACGTCGCGTTGTACAGTATGTTGAGATGAAGGCGCCAGAATTGAACTGATAGAATGCACAATACTATGATTTTTCTTCAAAAGCAGATCGTGCAGACATTTTAATCGTCCACAATCAAAAACCGTGATTATCGCACACCCCTAGTTGGAAGTTTAAGTTGCTGGCGCTCATGCTTCGTTCACGGTCGTCACGTGCGCATAGGAAACACGCCAGCCTATCGGCAAGGCTCATCGGCAGTTATATTCATATCTGCCGATGATGGTCATTTTAAGCTTTTATCGGCCGATACTGATGTTGTCCCGATATCATTGTGCATCCCTAGTATTACCTAATTTTATGATGCTGTGTTCAAAAATAAAAACTTACCATCATGTACACACACACACACACACACACACACACACACACACACACACACACACACACACACACACAATGATACATATGTATCAGTTTTAATTCACCCACAGATGTAGCAGAAAACATCTGGGTCAGGATTAGGCATAAAATAATGTCATACATGAGAAAATTAGATAGTTGTAACCTGGCTCAGGGGAAGAGAGGAATCATGTATCTGTGGCAGTTTTTCTGGTGATCAAAGGATAATACAAGACTTCACCTAACAAATGGATGTTGAAATCAAAAATGCTATGAAATGCACATCATATTTTGTGGGAGGCTGTGATGTGCTAGAGCAAAACTTTAGTAATAATTCATTAAGCAAATATGTTGCAGGGTTGTGTAATCGACAGTGTTGTCTAAATGTACAACAAAGTACTATGGATTTGTTTATTTTGAAAGAATCTTTTGAATGATCATGTACCTGTGCAGGCGCAGCAGGGAGGAGATGGCCCGGAGGAAGGCAGAGGAGCGGGCCAAGAGAGAGGAGGAGGCGCAGCGGCAGGCAGAAGAGAAGAAGAGACGAGAGGAGGAGGAGGAGAAGCGATTAGAGGAGGAGAGGACACAGAGGGAGAGAGAGGAAGCTGAACGCCTGCAGAGACAGGTACACAAACATATACACACAACAATCTCATTCATTAATCACACCAAACCGATAAATAAATGCACAACACTCAATATGTGCTTTATTAAGATAACATATCAACATTAGGGCTGTAAATAGATGATTCAACATTGATTGATTTTGGCGGAATTTATTTATTTATATACACTACTGTTCAAAAGTTTTTAAAGATGCATTAAATTGACCAAAAGTACGTAAATGCATTCAAATTAATGCTCTTTTTGTTTAAATGTAAAAACCCCATTAATGCTCTAAATTTTCTTTTGAACTTTCTGTTAATCAAAGAATCTTGAATAAAAATGTACAACAAAAAAATATTAAGCAGCACAGCTGTTTTCAATATTGATAATGGCCAGAAAGATTTCTTGAGCAGCAAATCAGCATATAATGATTTCTGAAGGATCGTGTGACACTGAAGACTGGAGTAATGATGCTGAATCACTTTAATCACAGGATTAAATTACATTTTACAATATATTCACATAGAAAAGAGTTATTTTAATATGTAATATTTCATAATATTACTGTTGTTTTTGATCAAACAAATACAGCTGTTCTGAGCATAAGAGACTTTCAAAAACATTAAAGAAACTTACCGACCACAAACATTTGAAAAGTAGTGTATATGTGTATATAATTTGCCTTTAATATTTTTTTATATAAAATACATATATAATGCATAATATGTATTATTTGAATGCATATGAATATAGTAAAATTAAATGTGTACAAACAATATATTGGCACTTCCTAAAGCCACTTTTTTGTAATATGCGAACTAACCAACATTTTTTACTTAATTAATCTCAAAAACATGTTAAGTTTGACAGCCCTGAAGTGAATGCATGCTGAATAATGCATATACGTAAAATTTCAAATGCCAGTGTGTTTTTGGTGGCTCTGTATGTTCAGAAAGAAGAAGAAGAGGCTCGCCAGAGAGAAGAGGCAGAGCGTTTACGTCTGGAGAGAGAGAAACACTTCCAGAAAGAGGAGGCTGAGAGAATGGAGAGGAAGAAGGTAAACAAGTTCATTTTATTGAGTGACTTTTAAGGTAATTCCAGGATTTTACAGTTAGCTGATTGTGTTCTTGTCTGTCACAGCGCCTTGAGGAAATTATGAAACGCACACGCCGATCTGATCAGGTAAGATGTAAAGCAACTGCTGCTGTTTTTTCGGCATTGTTGTCTTTCTTTCGAAGTGCTGGCTTTTTCTCTAACACACTTTCTGTTTTACACATATTGTGTTTTGAAGAAAGCCACCCCACAGAGAAATGGCGATGTCAGCCAGCAGAGCGTACAGGATTCAGGTGAATAGTGATTTTTACATTTACATGTGCACCATAGTGTTTTTCTTACCTTTTCCTCTGATTCATGAGTTTGTCATTAATCTGACATTATTAATGTCCCTCTCTCTTGTCTGTTAGTGATTTCAATATCCAGCAGTCCCTCAGTGAGTGTGTCGACTCCTGAGACCGGACGCAGTGACAGTAACGGACACTCGGACCCCAGCTTCATCACACCCATACTGCCCACATCAGGTCACAGGTGAGATTTTTTTCATAATTATTCATATTAACAAACATGAAAAGCAGAGGCCTGGTAGTTAACGTGATTTGAAACGCATATTCAGTTTCCAACTTAGATACATTTCCCAGAATGGCAAATTATGCATGTATCCATCTATCCCTCTATCCATCTATCATCCATCTATCCATCTATCCATCCATCCATCTATCTATCTATCTATCTATCTATCTATCTATCTATCTATCTATCTATCTATCTATCTATCTATCTATCTATCTATCTATCTATCTATCTATCTATCTATCTATCTATCTATCTATCTATCTATCTATCATCTATCTATCTATCATCTATCTATCATCTATCTATCATCTATCTATCATCTATCTATCATCTATCTATCATCTATCTATCATCTATCTATCATCTATCTATCTGCCTTTATATTAAGAAATCAGTAGAAAAATCCCACTTTGCGATGCTTACTGTACATTAGGTATGTGCTATTCTAGTTTACTATTGAAATTGCTTTGAATTTTCCTAATTTCAAAGTCACTTTGGACAATTTTCTTCTAAATGAATGTTTAATGTAAAAAATGGTCTGACACTAATGTTTCTCTGCAACCCTAGTGTTGATCTGCAGCTCTCCTATCCTCTACTGGTGATAGGAGGAAGTCCAACTTTATTTTTTTTATAAGCTTTTGATAATTTATTAACAGACAGTATGGGAACTGTTTGCATTTATTCATTAAGTAAACACTTTTATCCAAAGCTACTTACAAATGAGAATACAAGCAGAAGCGGTTAATTCAACAATATGCTTAATCAGAGAAACTTGAACTTGATCTATAAAAAAAAAAAACAGTTTGTAATCTGTGACTCTTTTCTTCACTGCAAGTGTGACTGCCGAACTCAGAGAAAACGGCGCTGTCACAGAAGCCTTCGAGGAGGTCATAGAGCTTCCCATGGCGAACAAACTGTCCCGTCAAGATGGAGATGGAGAGGAAGTGGAAAATGAGGAAGAGGAGGAGAAGAGGAAGGTTCCCATATTGGCTTTTAGAGAGAATGGCAGCATGCATAACGTGAGTGGACTGGAGGAGAACCCGGCACAGTAAACTCTTCTCTCAGGTCAGTCTGGACACAACACTGATTTTTTTTTTTTTGGGTGACATACCATGTCCCCTTTACCTTATTTTGATTTTTTTCCCCCATTATAGATATATGAACATTTTATGATTGTGGAAGTGCAACCTGCAACACAGGAAATAGAGTCAGAGGGAGACCCCTCACTGTACTTCCCTTCATCTGACACTTAGATACCTAAAATGGCAAAGAGAATTTCCGAAAACGAAACGTGTCCTCGCAGCGGAGACCGGTCTCTTGGCTTCTCCTTCCTGTAATCAGTTCCTGTCTCCCCAAACTGAAGTGGTACGCTCCAGAAACCACATCTTCCGTCATTTGGGGAGTCGTGGTGACTGTGAAGGCACGTTTAGTACTTGAAGAAAAGTGTCGCCGCTGTCGTGGAAGCTCCTGTGAAGTGCTAACCATAAGGAATGTGTGACAAGAGAATGATGTTTGTGTTTGCCTAGATTTATGGCGAAACCTCGTAGTTTTGCTCTCGTTATGCCAGCAATTGAGCGGCTGAACTCTCTGCTTAGTTTTATAATTAATGTTCAAATGAAGAGAACTTATTTTCTGCCCTCTTTGTAAAACTTGAACAGATTTTTGCCTCTTGAATTACGTCTCATTCCACTCCAACGTACGGCCCTCTGCGCAGTCCGAGCGAAGCAAAGCTTTCATCCTTGATTTTTATTTTCATTCTTCCTAATTGTGTTGGGTGATTTGAATCTCATCCAACTTATCAGGAACATATCCACGATATATTTAACTTAAAATTAAATGGAAAAAAAATCATTTTTTCATATTTCGTTAAAGTTAAGCAAGTCCTCACATTTGTTCATTATAGTAATAATGCAAAACATTTGTAAATTGTGAAGTATTTATATACCATTGTAACTGTTCTACTGCCTTTAATCAATACTGATTTAAATAAAACAAATTGTATTACTTCCCCCCCCCCCCCCCCCCCCCCCCCATTAGATTTTAGGTTGAAATGTGACCTGGATGTGTTTTTGTGAGATTCACCCAGCTGATGGTTTGCTTGCCATGTTGTTTTGTGTAGGATTAATCACAGACACCCGAAAGCAATTTGTAATATAGAGACTTACGCGTATATGAGAGGTTACGTCTATTTAATCGGTAGAACCCATACAAGCTAATCTTTAAAATCAAGAGATCTTTCGAATGTAATCATAACGTAATAAATAAGCAGAATCTCTTTAAATCTGAAATGCTGCTACCTATGTCTTTCCTCTGCCTTATCAGATGAAGTGAAGTTTTGAGGATTTGTTTGTAGAGCTGTTGTTAAAGGGCTGATTTGTTTTAGTTTTTAGTTTTTCATCAATAGGCTCGTAACACATGCTGTCGGTACAGCCCTGTAAGTGCTGCTGTTTCCATCCCAGCCCTATGAGATACAAGTAATCAATATGTCATAGGGCTCATGGAAAACCAAGTATCCTATATAGGACATATTATGAAGCGATTTCTCTTGTAAACAACAAAGGACTATCTCTGTTTTTGTTGTGATCAATATCAGTGGATGGTCAGTGGACACCATGCAAAAAAAAGAAAAAAAAGAAGCAGGGATCAATAAATATCTTGAAATGAAGACACTGTCAATCTTGATATGCAAACACTAAAAAAAAGTATACATGAATGTTGCAAACAATCTGTTAGGAGAATGGTGGGTGAAGGTTTAAAACAAGCACAACTTGTTTACTGAGACGTCAGGGACAGATTTGAAGACTTATTTATAGAGCACTTCTCATAAAGCACCCATGTGCCCTAGACCTAATCAACAGCACTGAGTACCACTTTAAAAAACTGAAGCGTTTTCTCCCTACCAAGTCGATCTATATGCATGTACAAATGATGAAAATCAATAAAACTTTTTATCTGGACATGACTTAAGACTGCTTTGTGTTCCTAGTGTGCATGTGTATGTTACAAATTAAGTTGTCACAGTAAATTAGGGCTGCGGTTGTATGATTCTGACATTTTGCTGGCCTAGATTAAACTTTTGCATGTGGAACAACGTGATGTTTAGATCCACCTGTGTTTTATATGGTTCCAGTGTGAAGCTGATGATCTTTCTGAGGTTTACTTGTTAAACATGTAAACATGCTTTCAGGGTTTTTCCCCCTAAAACGGGCATCTGGAAATTTTCAGTGGCTATCAAATAACATGCCACAGATGATGTCTATCAAGCTTTTGTTTAATGCGGAATATTTCATTAAGATCATATGGGGAATTAAATTATGCCTTTATCTTTTTAGATTATTGTAGAGAGTTCTGATTGAAATCACAATCAAATGTTTTACATTTAATCAATTCTATGATCTAGAAGTTTTTCAATATGCATGAAATAATGATTTTGTTATCGTCCAAAGCATTCTACCATAGCAAAAACCCATGATTAGAAATGCAATGCAGAAGAAAGCATTTTGAAAATAAGCAATGCCAGATTTCATTTCAACATTAAAATAATTAAAATATGGTATAACTTTTGCTATGAAGTGAACGAAGCAGTGAAAGCGCTCCGCTCAGGATCCAAATGATAAAGGGAGCGACTGAAAAGCCTCTGCATTTCTCCCAGTCAGACAGAGGATGAACCACTGCCATGTAACGCTGAATGGTCATGAGAGTTAAGAACAACACGCTGCTGTAAAAGCCAACATAGAACAGAAACTTCACCGCTTTACAGCCAATCTCTCCAAACGTCCAACCCCAGATGAAGTACGAGGCCCAGAATGGAAGTCCAAAAGTGAACAGCAGATCTGACAGAGCCAAATTGAGGATGAACACGTTGGTCAGGGATTTGAGACTCTCATAAAATGCCGGAATGACCAGAACAAGGATGTTACCAATGCAGCTTAACAACCATGTAGTGCATATGAAAGCGCTATATAAATGCCTCATTCTATTCATTCTAACCACTAATGAGGAGAAGAGCGGAATGAGAATGGATCCAACTTTCACCACTTCATCTTTGAGACACATCTCATCATTGTATTCGGAGTCAATTTTTGTCTCAGAGTTTTCATAGTAGTCAGGGGCCATTGTTTCCTCATCAGTCATATTGTTCTGCAACATCACAAACTACTTCAGTCAGAGATCAGATTTGTCCAGTTTCAGTTCTTTACTATTTGTAGAAGTTTTTCTGTGGAATGTCTTTGAAACAATCTGTATTGTAAAAAGCACTATATAAACAAAGGTGACCTGACCTGGAGAATCAACTGAAACATTAATAAAATCGTTCTTTCTCTATATTTGAATACCGTCTTTGTTCTTTTTTGTAATTAAAGTATTAACGCTGCAACAAGGTCCAACTCTTCTCATCTTTATCTGCCTGCTACGTGTAGCGATTGTACGCACGTATAAATATAATTAATTATTATTCATAACAGATTATGATCAATAATTAATAATTGAATTATTTTCAGAATTTACTGTAGCAAAATCAATAATATGATCAGTTTATCAGTTCATCCAATGAACGGAAAGCATAAACAATTATTAATTCTAGGAAATATAATATCTTCTTGGCCAAGAAAGACTAATTCCCAGCTAACAGCTAAATCAAGAAATAAATCAAGGGTCAAAGCATAGGTAACTTAGATCGAAGTTCAAGACAATAAATCGGTAAGCACATATCACAAGTAATGCTTCTCTTTTCAAATACAAACAATACTTTATTGATTATAAGCCTATGACTAACACACAAAACAAATATCTAACACAAACACACGCACACGCATTCATACAAGTTGAAGAAAGACAGAGAGTGAGGAAGAATGAGTTTTAGGAGTTAGATGGTGAGATCCCAAGTTTCTATATGCACTTAAAAGACATGACCTGAACGAACCATCAACAATTAATTTCATCCTTGTATCGTTTCTTAGGCGGGTAATTCAATTTGATATAAATTGCACCAGGTCAGTTACGTCTGGAGGCGTTACTTGCTTGTCCTTTGCGTTGCTTTGGGGATTCTCCTTTTTGTCGTAAAGGGGGTTTCCCGGTCCGTTGGTTGGCTGATCTTCTCGTGTGCCTGGATAGATCTTTGGACAGCCAGTCACGTGGTGTGTTGGCGCGGATGAATGAAAGTCTTTGAAGTTGAAAGCTGGTTTTGCAGTTGAAACGTTAAAACGAAACTTTGCAGCAACACTTAACTTAGAACCGAGACTTTTAACGGAAAAGAAACAAACTAAGAAAAGAAAGGAAAGTGTGACGAGATGGCTTCAATTAAATCTGTTTTAACCCATATCTTGATTTGGGTCATTTGTCTCTGCGTCTACATGGTTACTATAACCATCGTCGGCTCCACCCGGCGTCGGGCATCACAAGAGCTTAGAGAGCGAGTCCAGAGAGCTTTTCCCGAGAGCGTTCAGAGAGAGAGGATCACAAGAGAAAGATTCTGTGTTCGGGTCTAAGATTTTAAACTCAAAATGTTTGTCCCGCCTCCAGGAGGAATTTGGAATTCGGACAATAAGATACTATATGGTTATTTGAAAAGGGGGTCTATTCTATCCCCCCCCCCCTTCTCTCATCGCGAATCATGTGTCATCTGTGGTCTCATTGTTCTGCAGGCCTTAGCAGAGAGAACAAGAGGCAACAGTTTAGACATTATTACTATTATAAGAATACAAAACATTTTACACAGATTTCAAATCCAACCATCCTTTTGAATTAAAAATACGATCTTGTTGACAGGAAACAACGCACAATTTCACTCACACACCTAATATTTATAACAATTATGAATTGTATGGCATTTAAGCATATGAGAGACACACACATATATTGTAGAAACAACATATAATCAAAGTCCATCGAGAATTGTCCTGGGAAGAGTTTTATGGATTTTGATATGTAAGAAAGTCCTTATGTGTGTGTGTGTGTGGGTATCCTTATGGTCCGCATCTGTCACATCCGTGGTGTGTACCACGTGCGAGTTTAGTTCGCATATCATGAGACCTTGGTCCTTAAAGAAAGGCTTCTTGTTTCACCATTTCTGAACAGATCTGTTCTTGCCAAATTATAAAACATTGACAACGTTCTTCCTTTAGTTAAACAACAAAAGGGTCTCTTAGCTCCAGTGCCTGGGGATAATCTGGAATATGCAGCATCTTGTGTTTGGTTATGTCTGAAAGCTTCAATTGTGTTTGGTACATTCTCAATGTTGCTACATACGTGACATGTAGAACTTT